AAAAAAAAAAAAAAAAAAAAAAAAAAAAAAAGAAATAGACTAATTATGCATAATTTTGATGGTAAACTAATTGATTAAATTTTAAGTATGCTTTTGTGTAACTGCATCTGATGTTTGATCCTTATAGGAACCCTGTTAAGAAGGAAAGGTACATATTATTGTCCTTGTTTTCTTTCAAAAACACATAAGAGTTTGTATTTTGACTGTCAGCATTCAAATTAAGTCTTTTGATTATAAAATATATGGTCTTTACACTGTGGCCAAAATCTTAAATCAGTTATCATGATTTGAAATGGTTTATACCTATTTTTTAGACATTTATACATATATACATGTTTTTAAATTGTCTATAATATCATGCTCATCTTTGAAAAGATACTAGAAATACTACAGTGGATACCTACATACTTGCTATTCGATGTACCTGGTTTTTTGTTGGTTTGTTTTTCCAGACAGAGTCTCTTTCTGTCTTCCAGGCTGAAGGGCAGTGGCACGATCTCGGCTCATTGCAACCTCCGTCTCCCAGGCTTAAGTGATTCTCGTGCCTCAGCCTCCCAAGTAGCTGGGACTACAGGTGCATACCACCACACCCAGCTATTTTTTTGTATTTTTGGTAGAGATGGGGTTTCACCGTTTGGCCAGGCTGGTCTTGAACTCCTGACCTCAAATGATCAGCAAGCCTCGGCCTCCCAAAGTGCTGGGATTACAGGTGTGAGCCACTGCGCCTGGCCCATTTTAAAATATGCTTTATACTTTTCATTACGAAGAAGAAGGATATCCAGAATTTTTAACACATTGGGGGGATTTAGATGCCAGTAGTAACTTCGAGAAATAATTGCAAATTCTTTTTCCTCTTGAGTATACTTTCATTTAAAGTAGTTTTCTGTAAGTTGCTTTGCACAGTTAAACTTCTTAATGTTGTTTATTATTTGCCTTATATTTCTAGGTTGAATTTTTCTTAAGTCACGTGTCTAATAGAAAACCCCCTAAATGCCTCATTTATTCCGTATCATTAGTGAATGCATTGTTGTACATATTAGATTTTTCTCTTTAGATAACTCAGTTTCCCCTATTAAATGCCATGTGTATTATATATATTTATGTTTTATTTTTTAGTAAACTATTGAGAACTAGATATATTATAATCATTTGTAATACTTATATTTTTAAAAACATTTTGTTTTTCCCTGGTTTCTTCAACAAAGAGATACATGTTGTACAGGGATAGCTTTACCTCTGTTGGAGGATTATTGCACACATTTACATCAACTACATACTCCTGTTTTTGCTGGGCTCTAAGGCCAGCATTACTTTTTTGCTACTGCTGTTTCTGCCTCCTAAAGGCAATATGCCTCGATCTAGTTTGCTGATTCTGATATGCTTTCCCCTGGAAAGTAGGTAATCAAGTTTGTAAGGAACTGTGTGTTTAAGGAGCCCATAAATCTTTATGGGGAACACTAGGTGTAAAAAGTATAGCTGTAGGGCAGAGGCCTTTGACACATTTTGCATATTCAGTGGCCTTTGCCTATGGGGTTCATGGGTCAGAGCACTGTTGTGACCTTTGAATAAATGGGGTGTTATGATAATTGTTTTAAGGGAGAAGAGTAATTCTGATATTATCCTTCGTATTAACATTGCTCTAATTTATTATTGAGCTGGATTTAAGTATTAATCATTTAAGGTCAAATTTCTAATGTATATATGTTCTTCAATGGCAACAACCCAGTTACCATAGCAATTTAGTGAAATAACTATAATGGAACATTTTTTTTGAATTTGGCTTCTCTTTTTTTTTTCTGTCCACCAGGGAGTAACTATTCCCAGTCAGAGGCGCTATGTGTATTATTATAGCTACCTGTTAAAGAAT